TACTTTGTTCCTCCATCCCAAACCTTTCCCATCTCTCTGCTGCTTGCATCTTCCCAAATGTCCCCTTTTCCTATCTCCATCCAACTTGGGGCTGTCTCTTTCCAATTATTCTCAAACCTGCCATCAGTTTCCTGGTGACAATCTTTCACCCAGTTATTTGCTATTATTGTCCCAGGCTTCATCCTGCAATACACAGGTATCCAGCCTTGTTCCACTAGTAGTACATCTGAGATATTGATCAAATTACATTTCCTTAGCTATGTTGTGAACTTTGGCAATTAAATCCTGCCGTCCACTCAGCGCTCCCCTGCGTAGCTCTGCTTGGGGCTGACCTGGGCAGGAAAACAGAGTCGCAGCAGCCCTGCCGTCCGTGTGAGATAGAGGGATAAATCAAGTCCAGAGACAGTTCGTTGCTACCTCTACAAATGTCTATTTACACAGCAATAAATCCATCAGAACTTTCCGGCATCTCTCCTTAGAGCACACGCAGCTTCTTTGCAGCGTCTCTCAGTCTAAAGTGAAACCAACTCTCACAGACAAAGGCGGACAAAGCCTGTGACTTGGGGCCCTGCGTCAGGCCCCTCCCAGATACAGGACACCAAGGAGTTTTAACCCTGTAAACTCCAAACTCCACATGAACTGCCCTGAGATCTGCAGATGAACAGCAGTACACGAATTTAATAAGTAGTAGTAGCAGCAGCAGTAATAATACCTAAGCCTTTTTATTGCTGAAATGTGTAAAGGGGTGCAGGAGAGGGCCTTCTCGGTGGTGGCTGCTCCTAGACTCTGGAACTTCCTCCCCAGAGAAGCCAGATTGGCTCCCTCCTTGCTGTCCTTCTGCCAGCAAGTGAAGACCTTCTTGTTCCAAGAGGGTTTCGAGAACTGACTGCTTTAAGGGATGAACTGGTGCTCTGATGTTTTCACTGTAAAGATATGTTTGCATTATAGTCAACTAATGTTTAATTGTTTTAATGACTGCATTCACACACACACACACACACACACACACACACAGTAGTTTTAGCTGTTCCTCTTTTAAGGTGTAAGCTACCTTGAGTCTCTGTTAGGGGGAAAAGGCAGGATATAAAAAACATGATATTATAATAATCATTTACTGTAAGCTACAACTAAATATTGTCCATATTTAAAGAAGGCGATGGCATAAAGGAAGGACATAGTTGAGAATTATTTGAACATCTTTTTTAAGGAGAACAGGTGCAATAAACATGTAGCCCAAAGGATTAAATTTTAAATGTTCTTGCACTGTTGATTTACTTTGATTTGAGACTTTAGTTCTTCCCCCATTAGTGTGAAAGATGTCTCTGGGTCACCTTTACAAGCAATTACTATAAGCAAGTTTAGCAGATAATATCAAAGCAGGGCAGCAATTTACTACATGTGCAAATGGAAGCTTCTAATAAAGGCATGACCTTGGAAACAAGGTACAGTGGTGCCCCGCAAGACGAATGCCTTGCAAGACGAAAAACTCGCTAGACGAAAGGGTTTTCCGTTTTTTGAGTCGTTCCGCAAGACGATTTTCCCTATGGGCTTGCTTCGCAAGACGAAATGTCTTGCGAGTTCTTGCAAGTTTGTTTCCTTTTTCTTAAAGCCGCTAAGCCGTTAATAGCCGCTAAGCTGCTAATAGCCGCTAAGCCACTAATAGCCATGCTTTGCAAGACGAAAAAACCGCAAGACGAAGAGATTCGCGGAACAGATTAATTTTGTCTTGCGAGGCACCACTGTAACTGAAATCCATGGAGCAGAGAAAGGTGAAAACATATTGACAGCAAGTCTCCCACAACATGCACTCAATAGGGCAAAATAAAGTTACACGAAAACTGATTAGTAGCAGACGCAGAACTCCAACAAAATGCATTAATGCCAAAATCAATACAAAAACTACAATACTCTTAGAACAATCGCTCTTAGAGCAACAGCAGCCTATAGAATATGGCACACCTTCCCTCACTCCCTGACCTCTGCTGCATTGACAAAGCTTCAATTCAGAGATCTACAGAATGACCCCTGCAGAGAATCAAAACCCGCCCTTTTGGAGGAGGAAGAAGAAAGAGATTTACTACAGCAACTACCATGGTAATCGGTCATAACTGGAAGCAGAGACCAACTACAACTGAGGAATGGGATGACTAGAAACTGGAAAACCCAGAACAAGCATGGGGCAAGAGGTTTACCAAACAAATGGTTCTGCTGCATCATCACAAAACATTATTATATCATTATGGTAAAAAAAGGTAAAGGTAAAGGACCCCTAACAGTTAAGTCCAGTCACAGACAACTCTGGGGTTGCGGCACTCATCTCGCTTTACAGGCCGAGGAAGCTGGTGTTTGTCCGTAGACAGTTTTTCCGGATCACGTGGCAAGCATGACTAAGCCACTTCTGGCGCAACAGAACACCGAAACCAGAACAGCGCACGGAAACGCCATTTACCTTCCCCCCGGAGTGGTACCTATTAATCTACTTGCACTTTTTGGCATGCTTTCAAACTGCTAGGTTGACAGGAGCTGGGACGGAGCTGCCTACTTCACACATGGAAACAGCAGGGAGTCAAGCCTGTGAAGTTTTGATGCAGTGCTTGATAAGCTTCATCAATAATTTTTAACTCTCTTGTTCCAGTGCCAGTTTAGACAAAACATTAAGCAGTGTTTAAAGTTTTGAAGAGTGAACCAGTTTTGAGAGCACATTTATGGGTCAGAGATGGCACCATCCTTCCATTGCCACAATATTCTTGGGCACAAGGGACATGGAAGGCCCCTTCACTCTCTCTTATAACATGAGCTCCAAGACAAGCTGAGCCTGTTTCCAAAGCCTGGGCAGGGGGCTGGAATGACCGTGAGGGATTGTTTCAGTTGAGTGGAGAGCTTTTGAACTGACCTTTCATGCAGAATCCATGCCTCCCATAGCACCCTAGTTTTTCAAAGCCTCATGATTAATCAGTCACTTCCTAAATGTTCTTCTCATTCAGGAAATGAAAGGTCATACCAATTAATAAGATCAAGTCAGCTTCTGTTATAAGTATAATAGAGATGAGACACACAAGCAATAAATAAATCCTGAACTAGGTCTGCACTGTAGCTTGACCTCATTGTAAGGGAAACTATGAATGACAGTTACGTCAGTTAGCTGCTTTAAATATCTCTCGCTGATTTTCAGATTCTCAACCATTTATTGATACATCATCACTTCATTGTTTTCAGTATAACATAACAATGATCTCATAAACAATGTTTATGACAGTTACGCAAATACAACAACGTAGAAAATAAAATGTGAGCCTACAACAGTCTTGTGGCTCTGTAAAAATGAAAGAAATTGGAAGAAAAGAGGACAACTACAACAACAAAGGTCCCCCCCCCTTTTGGGGGGTGGAGAGTTTGTTTTAAGTAATATATGGTAATATGGAAGTAATATATGGATATTTGGGACGCGGGTGGCGCTGTGGGTAAAAGCCTCAGCGCCTAGGGCTTGCCGATCGAAAGGTCGGCGGTTCGAATCCCCACGGCGGGGTGCGCTCCCGTCGTTCGGTCCCAGCGCCTGCCAACCCAGCAGTTCGAAAGCACTCCCTGGTGCAAGTAGATAAATAGGGACCGCTTTATAGCGGGAAGGTAAACGGCGTTCCGTGTGCGGCTCTGGCTCACCAGAGCAGCGATGTCACGCTGGCCACGTGACCCGGAAGTGTCTGCGGACAGCCCTGGCCCCCGGCCTCTTGAGTGAGATGGGCACACAACCCTAGAGTCTGTCAAGACTGGCCTGTACGGGCAGGGGTACCTTTACCTTTACCTTTTATGGATGTATTTTAAGAAAAGGTAATAATAGAAATTTAGTAGAGGGGCTGAAGACTCTCCTCCTTCCGCTCGGCGGCTGGGGCACAATGGCGAGGGCAGCAGGGTCAGGGCTTCTCCTCTCCCCCCCCCCCCGCCCGGGGCTCCGAATGGCCAGGCGTCCCTCTCCTCCTCCTCCTCGGTGTGGTGGCGTGCTGGCCATGGCTCTGTAAAAAATTTGTCCATTCTCTGCCCTGCCATTTCCACCAGTTCTGGAATGTGCATGATGCATTACTGTACTTGCAGTTTCCAGACCTTCTTCAAAGGGAGACCAGCAGAATCTACATGGGAGTTGACAAGGGCCTGCAAGACGCTGGCAAAGCTATCTTCATCCAGGAACACCCACAGCCAGCCAAGCAGATGGTGCTGAAAATAGGCCCTCCTAGAGGTCAAAGCCACCCAGACCTCAAATGGCAAAACTCTACCCAGGAGTCACCCCAGATTAAGATCCTATTTGTGCAGGAGGAGTGCAACATTACCAGAACCCCCAGTTCCCAGACATGAGAAGCTCCCACCAAAAGGGCCTCCATCTGATGATTATACCACATGATTTTATATCAATGTTATGTAGAACTGGAGACAGAAAAGAACCTCGCTGCTTTGTGCTGCTGCCTTCATATTTTTCTTAAAACAAAACTGTAATATTCTTTTTCTTTAATATGAGCATTGACCAATTCACTGGGGGATGAAATGAACCAATTCACTGGGGGATGAAGCCATGAAATTTGTGTTCTGCACCACTCTGCGAACGCTTAAGGAAATTATTTAAATGATTAAAGACAGAGTAAGCCAATCAGTACAGACTTCAACCAGAAATTGTACTGAGTGTGAAACACCAAATACATATAGACATTCATCAGCTTGTAGAATTGGTAGGTTTTTTCCTATTTCTCTTTTCTTTTTTGGTAAAGTTTATTATCGTTATTAATTCATTTTATAATACATATAAAACAAAGAGATCAATTAGATCACAACAGAAAAAAATTAAAAGATGGAAAACAATACTATAAAATAGGCACCTAGAACAAGAAGTTGCATAAGAGTTAAAGTAATAATGTCCAAGTAAAGAGGTTTCTTTCCTATTTCTGATCTCCATGCAAGCAAACATATAAACAGCCACCAATCTTTGAACACCTATTCTATTTCCCTCAACGAAGAAAGTTTTTTTAGTTTTTTAATCCCTGTTTAGCCGGAAGACATTTGTCAAACAGATTTCTCATCAGACTCATTTGACAGGTTTCATAAATAACAATTTTTCAAAAGCACAAATCGAACTTCTGAAATGGAACGTTTGTATGGGACAGAGAGCCTGGAAGGGAATATGTGCAGGGGAGAGTCCCATCATACACCTTCAGTAATTTCTTTTTTAAAAAAAAAAAAAATTTATTGCATTTTTCAGACATCAAACAACAAAGAAAGAAAGCAAGAAAACAAAGAAAGATAGAAAGAAAATAGAATAAATCATACCCTTCCAACCGCTTATTTCAACATTCCAACGAGCTTCCCCACATCTCCCGCACAATGCATTCTTAACAATAAATTTATCAGCAAATTGTACCCTTGTTTCATGTGTTTCTTTGTACTTTCAATTGCAATTTAAGTTTAAATCCCTTATTGTCCAATTACTCTAAAAACATTCCATATTAGCATTTTTAACATTTAAACTTGCTTCTTTCAATAGTGTTATCCAATTTCATAGATATTGCACTCTCATTGCTGGGGCTAGTATTTCAAATTTTGCGTCATTTTATAGTTCATATAACTTGTAATATTTTTGCAAATAGTTCTTAAATTTTTTCCAGTCCTCCTCCAAAGCTTCTTCTCCCAGGTCTCGGATTCTGGCGGTCATTTCGGCCAACTCCATGTAGTCAATCAGTTGCGTTTGCCACTCTTCCAGCGTGGGCAGATCTTGAGTCTTCCAATATTTGGCAATCAGGATTCTTGCTGCTGTAGTTGCATACATAAAAAACGTTCTATCCTTCTTTAACACCTTTTGGCCGACAATACCCAAGAGGAAGGCCTCCGGTTTTTTAGGGAAGGTGTACTTAAACACCTTTTTTAACTCATTATAAATCATTTCCCAAAAGGCCTTCACTCTCGGGCAGGTCCACCAAAGGTGAAAGAAAGTTCCATCAGCCTCCTTACACTTCCAACATTTGTTGTCAGACAAATGGTATATCTTAGCAAGCTTGACTGGGGTCATGTACCACCTGTATATCATTTTCATAATGTTCTCTTTCAAGGCATTACATGCCGTAAATTTCATACCGGTGGTCCATAGCCTTTCCCAGTCTTCAAACATGATATTATAACCAATGTCTTGGGCCCACTTTATCATGGCTGATTTAACTGTCTCATCCTGTGTATTCCATTTAAGCAGCAAGTTATACATTCTCGATAGTATCTTAGTCTTTGGTTCTAACAACTCTGTCTCAAGTTTCGATTTTTCCACCTGGAATCCTATTTTTTTGTCCAACTTAACGACCTCATTAATTTGGGCATAGTGAAACCAATCTTGCACCTTGTCCTTTATATCTTCAAAGCTCCGCAACCTCCAATTATCACCCATTTTTTCTACTAATTCCCAATATTTCGGCCAGCTGGCCTCCATATTGGGTTTTTTCCGCGCCTTGGCCTCCACTGGTGATAGCCACCTCGGGGTCTTACTTTCAACACCTTCAGTAATTTCAGAACAAATGCAAAAGCTGGAACAATTGGAATCACTTTGAAGCATTGCTCCTTGGGCCGTGTCACTTGCACAACCCACATTAGCCCCACAGCTGTAGCCCAGTTACCTGGGAGTAAGCCTCACTCAACACAGCAGGATTTACTGCTCAGTGGGTATGCACAGAGTTATGCTGCCTATCTTTCATTTCCAAAGCCAATATAGTTTTTTCATAGTCTGTAAATTTCCAAATCTTTTTTGTGTACTGTGCATTTTTGGTAACAGTTGTCATTCCTTTGCTCATTCATATTTCTTTTCTGTGATCTAATTATTTACCTACTAGCTTAGCTTTGTGATTATATACTACATATAAAGTACTTTTTTATTTTTAAAACTATCTGTGGAAATCCTAGGAATGCTGTGGCAGCGTGGCCTCAGGGCCTGGCTCCTTCTCCTGCTGCTGCTGCGGAGGGGAAGTGGGGGGAGGAGGAGGAGGAGGAGCCGCCTCGTTGGCAATGTCAGCCCCAATCTCCCTCCTGTTGGTGCCTCTGCCTCCAAGAATGTCCTACCACAGCGCTCTCCACCAGTTTCCCCCAAAGTGGGCATTTCTAGCTGCTCAGTAACTGCTTCAGTCCAAACGGGTCCAGAGCCAGTTTCTTTAGGAGCTGCCGCATCACTGGCTCTTTCAACGCAGCAGGGACCACCTCTCAGGTATTCTGGGAAGGGTGGGTGTTGGATGGAGTTGTCAATTACTTTCCTTAATAAGTGTATGAAATGATTAAGGCTCTGATTTTTAATTGTATGCGTTTATTGAAGGTTTCTTTTTTTAAAAAAAAAGTCTCATAGTGCTTGGATCTCTGCAGCTTCTCAGCCCAGCAGCCACTGCCTAGAATGACCATGAGAGGAATGTCACATCACAAGTGGCTGAAAATCCTTGGCTGAAATTATCAGAAGAGAATGAGTTCCTTCCAACTCTAAAGTCTCTGTTCCATTTCCATTTGCCATACAAGAGTTGTATCTGCTATGCAAACGGTTGGCATCTAAACTCCTGGCATCTAATTTAAAGTCTAGGTTCAGCCTTAGAACATATTAACTTTGACTAGATGAAAGTACCACTGAGCAAGTGTAAATTGTATTATTTTCATTTGTGAATGCAGACTAATAGTTTCAAGAAAGTAACGTGATTTATACTAAAATGGCTAACGTCTAATTTCATTTTTAAAGAAACCTGTACCTGGGCATAAGCACCTTCTACAAATAATGACAATTGTTCTAGGACAATGAATTGTTAGCAGGTATATTCCCAGGGACCTTATGACATGCAACCAGAAAAGTCGATCATTTCGTCAGTCCAGTTGTAAACAAAGACTGCAGCAGAGATGGAGCGGGCTTCCAAATGTCCAGGCGTTTCACTTCCATTTTTTCCCTTTCTAATTCTTGCTGCTTCTCCTTTATGTGGAAAGGGATGCTAGAGTGGGAGGCCACGATGGGGGAGATAAAAAACACACCAATTAATCGTAGAGTTTCACTGTCACAACAGAGTAAATTCAAAGCTGTGCACCCAAAGGTCATGCTCCTTGGCATGTAAATACACATGTAAAGGTAAAGGTAAAGGGACCCCTGACCATTAAGTCCAGTCGCGGTTGACTCTGGGGTTGCGGCGCTCATCTCACTTTATTGGCCGAGGGAGCCGGCGTACAGCTTCCGGGTCATGTGGCCAGCATGACTAAGCCGCTTCTGGAGAACCAGAGCAGCGCACGGAAACACCGTTTACCTTCCCGTCGAAGTGCTGCCTATTTATCTACTTGCACTTTGTGCTTTTGAACTGCTAAGTTGGCAGGAGCAGGGACTGAGCAACGGGAGCTCACCCCGTGGCGGGGATTCGAACCACCGACCTTCTGATCAGCAAGTCCTAGGCTCTGTGGTTTAACCCACAGTGCCACCCGCGTCCCAAAATGCACATAAAACTCATAAAACTCACCTCAAAAAGCAGACAGGCATTACAAGCTCAGAAATTTGTGCTTTGTCTACTCAGGATAGCAGTATTAGAGAAATGTCATCTCTGGTTCTACTTTAGACATGTTTTTCACCTGGGACTGCTGCCTAAGCTCCTTGAGGCTGTTTGTCCCCTCCCTTCCTTCATGTCAAAGGCCTTTGGTGCAACCTGAAGGGCAAGAGCTACAGACCTGTTGCTTTTTACATGTGGTTCGAAGCTTCAGATCTCTGCAAGGGGAGCAAGAGCCCAGGGTATTCCACCAAACAGGGAAGGCACTTAATTTTTTTCCACCTGGAAAAATGATGTCAGACCATCTGGATCTTTGAAAGAAGCTGCTGCCCTGACTCTATGGAGATAGCCCAGAACTGACCAATTCTCCATTGGTGAAAAGCGAGGAGGACTAAAGAAAGAGAAGGTCAATGCCAAAGAGCGGCAACTGTTGCTTGAAAATAAGTTCTATCCATCATTAGATTTACCCACAGATTTGGATTATGTGGGAGCAGAAGCAGAATGACTGGAATATTTGCAGTCCTCCCACTCTGATAAAAAAGGCAATGTTGCCAGTACAACTGATCAACCTTCACTGCTTAATGTTTACGTCATCAGGTCCTCTCAGCTGGAAAGTCAGCAGTGCTCAATCCCCACATAGCCTGAGCAAAGGAAGTAACCTGATATTTGCAGATCTAATCCCTCGGCTGAGATGGTAACAGAATCACTAGGAGCTATTAAACTTGGTCAGATGCCCCAAAAGAAGCCTGCTATAGGTCCTAGTGTTCCACCAGTTTTCTTGGAATCCAGTATGGCAATAGATCCATTAGCAGTCAGACTGCAGAAAGAGAAAACCTTGGCTCCTTCTGAGCTACAGCCATTCCCTAATGAGGCTGAGGAAGAACTGTTCAGTTCCTTCAAAATGACTTTGGCCACAATGCACGATGATATCATAAAGAGACTGAGCAAAGATACAAAGTAAAAGGTCAAAAGTCAAAAATACAACACAAAGCTAGTGAAACAGTAGAACAAAAGCTTATAGAAAGAAGAATACAGGAATTCAGGAAAATGAAGGAAGGATGCAGTGTTGTGAGTCAGGACAAGCCTGAAGTTGTCGCTTCACAAATGGCAGAGGCAAGTGCAAAGTAGTACAAACAGAATTTCTGCAGGTCATATAGTTGCTATGCACGAAACCTGGATGTTCACAGAAACTGTAGTTAATCTACAATTTACTGTTTACTATCATTACTATCATATAATGATTTACTATCATTAGTATACCAAGTAACTCCCATAAAGAGTGGCAGACCAAGAAGCAGCAGACCCTTTGAGAGCCACAACATCCTAAGACACAGTAACTCCTCTTGAAACATCCTAAGACACAGTAACTCCTCTTGAAGCTCTTGGCCCTGTTGGTCTCTCCTGGTGAAAATGCAACCCTTGCCACTTACTCAGCATCTATTCTACCTCAGAGTTCCACATTTACTAAATCTGCGAAATGAGTATCCAAGTCCACAGGTTGTATCAAGGGTATATTTTAGTGTCTGAACTGATGACTTAACCGGACTCATCTTGAATTCAGCAGGATTTGCTTCTGAGCAAGTTAGGATTCTGCTTTTGGGTGCCTTAATTAGTATGGAGAAGGTCTTTTTGGAGGAAGAGCATAGGAAGAGGAGGAGGAAGAGGAGGGTGGTTATTATTATTATTATTATTATTATCCATTTACATCCCACACTTCCTCCCAAAGCACCCCAGGCTGAGCAATCGGACCTCAAAGGACTGGGGAACTGTTGCTTTTGCTGCAAAAGACTATCAGGGCTACCTCTTTGGAAATTCATTAAGTGTGCAAGGGAGCACACAGGAAAACTGATTGATTTGCAAGTATCTCTTGATGACTGAGCAATATGCATGTATTGTAGTTTATGATATACATTTTTTAGAAACTCCATATATCAGACAAAAAAACAGAAGACAGACTTGTAAAAAATAAAACTGTAGCAGACTGGAAAATACCAGATGGAAGTGGGAATGAACCACTTGAGGCACATCCATATAACCCTAAGTGAATGTAGAGAGGATTTCATGAGGCCTGTGCAAGAGGCATTTGTGCAGCACAGCAGAGTTAAAGGTTTCAAAAATGCAAATGACCTTACACTAACATTTTTGTGCTCATCTCCAACATGATCTGTCAATCAAAGGAGAAATCCATTGTATATTCAAGTCAATCAAAGGGAGTTTTAGGCAAAGAAGGATTATATATTTTAAAAGCCTCTTTATACAAGCCTAAATTCTTTGTGGGTGCTTTCCCTTTTATATTCTCTCTATAAGCTGCAAAGGGCTTTAGCCACCACAGGAGGGAGGTAAAGCTACAGTTTTCTAGCTTGCACAATGGAAACTAAAAGAATTGGAAACTAAAATGAAGGAAGTAGAACCATGAAATATACCCTCATCTCTTTTACACTCTAAAATTTATAAAACCTCATAACTCCAAGGTCAGATTCTATTCTATTCTATTCCAGCTGTTTCAGGATTGGAGAAGTATTTCCTAGGGCCATTTCACATGAAACAAAATAGCCTAACAAAAAGTTAGTTTTGTTAGATTGTCAGGTGTATGTGATTAACACAAGTATTTTACAACAATCCCGCAGAGTGCCTCTACCAAGTGTGGCTTCCTATTGTTGTTTTTTTCTGTGGCAAAACAGACACATTAATTCATCATGCATCATTTCCTACAAGAAAGGCCTTCATCTTGCATGAAGAATCCTAGAGGGTCCTGGCATCCTGCCTGAGGCGTTGTGAAGCAAAGTGGTACTGAGCTCATTGCATGGCTGGTGCATCAGATGAGGGGCCACACACCACCCAAAGTCACTCTGGGACACCCATCTCCAACTGCTGGCCCCACCCCCACCCCCGTCTGCTGAAAGATACCCCATGCCTGAGCCCACGTTCCACCAACACATGTAATCAATAAAGTTGTGGCCATTTGAATTCCAGGTCGTTGTCTGCCAGAGTCTGTACTCTCACACTTTGCCTTGGAATGAGAGCAAGGAGGCACTGCGACTGGGGCTACAATTGCTGGTCCTTCTATCTGGCTGTTGAATACTAGGTTTTAATACACTAGTTTTTGGTTTTAGGATACTGAATACTTGCTTTTAATACTTTTGCTAATTTCCTTTGTTAGTTGGACTTCAAGATATAAATAAATCACCAACTGAATCACATACAGTACAAAAAAGTAAATAGTTACTTTCTTAGTTTTTCGTTGCAAGATTAACAGCTGGCTTGACCTCTTCATGTCATGCTTAAAATAAGCTCTTAAAAATTCTATTTACTAGAGTTGCAAGTGACTCTTAAGTGCTTCGCCAAAACCCCTGAAAGCATAACCTGGATACTCTGTGACTTAGTTCTACAGATAAACGTCTGAACCAAGACAGTGGCATATCAATTTCCCTTGCTGCTCTCTAGCTAGGGGCGGAGGCTAAAGTTTGCATTTAAAGGTGAATCTACTGAATTCACACTTTCCAATGAGAACCAAAACTCAGTCATTATGCAAATTTTGTACTTTCCCAAATTTTGCAATTCTCCAACCAACCCATGCATTATATTAGGAGAAATTGCTTGCGAAAATGTGTATATTAGTTGAAACTGCATATGAAACTGTGTTTATTAGGATAAATTAACATAAAGCGCTGAATGAAAAATGAGAAGCAGAGAGAACTGAAATTGGCATATCCTTCCCTATTCTCCAAGGGTAGGATTACTTTGTTTGTTTTAAAGCATAAAACAATAAAAGCATAAAACAATGGCAGCGTATTAAATGAAATACTAGATACATACCAAGGAACTCCTGGCAAGTGCTGGAGAGGAATAAACGTATCTGACTGCTTTATATACTTGGAACTATTAAAAAGAAAACAAAAGCCATTTGGACTTAGGGAACAGAGACATCATTGATTTTGATTTGATTTGGTTTGGCATTACATGTGCGAAATCCTAATGCAATTGCTATGAGGTGCAAGTTCTTTCAATAATAGAACCCATATTTCTTGTTCAAGACTATAGAAGATATATGGATTTGTTTTTTCTTGACAATAAAATGAGTTCACTTGTAAAAATTGCCTCTGAGCTTCTACAAGTTTGGAAATTTCTCTATATAAATCTATGGCTTTTTGCTTTGGTTCCATAAAGTCACATACAGGTCACATAGACATCAAATATTTCTCACAATATATGTACTTAGAAAGACTGCAGATTGTTTTGTAGAAATCGCTATTGAAAATAGCAAAACAATAGCATAAATCCTAGCAGCCACATCAAACGTCATTATCGCAAAATCTTTAGCTTCTTAAAGGGTTTTGATGACCAAGAGTGGCACAAAAGGCACAAGTTAATGCCCATAAGACAACTGTCGTTCTGATGGCAGGAAATCTGCGTTAAACAGTGTAAAGACAGATCTGTGTGTCTCCTTTGGGAAGACAAAGATTTACAGGACCAGTCTGGCAATATTTTATTCCATTATCAAGCTGTAATTTCCTCACCAAGATCCTCTTCCCATTGTAACGTTAAGTTTATGAAAGACTTGTGTATTCGCATCTAACATTAAGCTATGCATTTTTGAAATGAAACCTTTGCTATGCTGAACAGGGTCTAAAATAAAGGATTCAAAACAATAGCTTGGGCCTTAAAGTATGATATGTGGTGGGGTTGCACTCCAGTGACCTCTTGCCTGCTCTGTAGTTGAGGCCCACTTAGAGGCATAGGCTGGGTATAAAAGGTTGGCATGAAAAACAAGCACTGTGTTTTCCAAGGTGGAAGATACAGATATTTGTCTAAACAAAAAGGATGGTGAAGCAGTAGTAACAAAAGGGAGAGACTTGAAAAAAGTCTAGATCAAGGTGGGGAACCTCCATCCTGCAGCCATAGTTACAGCTGGTATGGGTCCCAATTTGGGTTGCAAATGCACACCTGACACTGTGCGTCACCATGTGCCGGACAGGAAGGGATTCAGCAGCCAAAGAACAATTGGGAGTCTTAGAATTATGTCATTTTATTGAGATCAATATTTTAGTCATGTTGGACTCAGGTGCTGTATCTTATTGCATTTGTAGTTTTGTATATGATTCACTTTTTATTAATGTGTGTACGGTCATACCTTGGTTGTCGAATGGAATCCGTTCCGGAAGTCTGTTTGACTTCTAAAAACGTTCAAAAACCAAAGCGCAGCTGCTGATCAGCTGCAGGAGCTTCCTGCACTCAGCCGGAAGCTGCGGTGGATGTTTGGCTTCCAAAGAACGTTAGCAAACTGGAACACTCACTTCTGGGTTTGCGGCGTTCAGGAGCCGAAATGCTTTTCAAGGCGTTTGAGAACCAAGGTACGACTGTATATTGTTTAGAGAGATTTATTGCTTAATTGTGTCACTTTAAATGTGGAATGTGATGATCACTGTTATCATCAGCCATCACAGGGCTGAGTGTGGAACTTGCCTCCCAAAGTTCACTGGAGGCAGGGTTGGTCCCAGTTTGTGGAAGTCTTTGCTTTGTTCTGGATAGGCATAAGGGTGGTCTCCCAGTGTCACCAACGGAATACCATTTCTGGAGGCATCTTCAGTCACTGTGGTGACAAATAAAAACACAACTAGATAGGACATGGGGGACAAAAGTTTAGTTTCTACCATTTGAACCATAGGAAAAGATCCATTTGAGTCATGCACATAGATAACATTAATTTAAAGCTATGTATGCCACTATAACCCCTTCATGGATCACCGCCTTGTTGTGGCGAAGGGGCTTGAATAACCCCAAGAAGCTCTGAGCCATGCCGTGCAGGGCCACCCAAGACGGAGAGGTCATAGCCAAGAGTTTAGACTAAATGTGATCCAACTGGAGAAGGAACTGGCAAACCACTCCAGTATTTTGCCAAGAAAACTCCATGGACATAAAAAAGGAGATGCTTTGAGAAGAAAGCGAGTTTCCAAGGCATGCTCTGGTTCATAGGGTCACGGAGTGTCGAGCACGACTAAGACGACTAAACAACAAATGCCACTATAAACCTAAAACCACTTTCTTAAATTTTAAATAGAAGCATCTGCAGTACCGGATTATGGTGAAATCTACACACATATAAAAACGCTGTGAAAATGTTTTTTTAAAAAAAAATAAAAGTTTTGAAAAATACATTGAATTTGGCATAGGTCACTGTCGCCATCTAGTGTCACATTTGTATATTGCACTTTACAACACATTTAAAATGTTTTATTTGCAGCTGTGTAGATGAGTCCACAGTCACACTCTTGAAATGCTACAATTCTGACCCATGATGCATGATGTCCTTCTTTAGGAGAGGGTCGGGGGGGGGCAAGGCAGTTGCTCTTGTGTGATCTCTTAGTGGCCTTTGATATCTTGGTGGCATTGGATCTGCAACCAATCAGGGCAAGGAATAACACGGAACTAGACAACAAGTGGCAGGTTTTCGGAAACCTTTCAGTAAACATTTCAGGCCCGCCTTCTTGATCACAAAAATATTCAAGCCAAAGCATTAACATATCTATACCCCCATTTTCACAGAGTATAAAGCACCTCACACAACTGAAAACAAAATTTAAAATAACGTGAATAAACAAAAGGCAATGTTAAAAGAGCAACAGATTTTCAGAGCCTTGGAGGCAGGGGGCAAGGCTATAGGTATGGGGGAAAATGATAATCATCTATACCAGGGGTGACTAACCAAGGACTTGAAGGTGGCACCCAGTCCCCTAAGAGATGTTGTGGCCCCTGAACCATCAACATTTCTCATTTGAAGATGGCTTTATTCTAACAAGTGTTGAGTGCTCTGGTGGATCCACAGCGGTGACAATATGCTGTCAAATGGATGTGGGTGGGTGTTCACTTCCAACCCCGTTTAAAAATCACTAAAATGTTTTAAACTATATTTTTTTAAAATGCTTTAAAAAAATGCTCATTGTTCCCACGTCTCCCATTGCAATACTGTGATTCCAGAGGTTATATACGTGTGTGTGTGTGTGTGTGTGTGTGTAATGGCACCCACCCCACGCACACGCACACTGTAATGCCAGTCAGCTTTGTGGCTTCCCAAGGAGTCCCAAAGTGGTACCGTTTGAAATGTTTTAAATTATCTGTCTATATTTACAGACCACTCTTGTGGGCCCTGACGCAATTTGGTGATGCCAAAATGTTTTGTGACACCCCTCCCCTCATTCCTCCTTTTTTAAAATGGCAAGTTTGGGGCACACACACTTTGACATCCCCACTTTCAGCTGTAGCTCACAGAGATTTGACCTCAGTGCAGTTTTTCGCCTGAAAAAAGTTGAGTGACCTATACATTGAAAAATGAAAAGGAGACAAAACTCACATGTGGCTGATTCCACCTTGGAAAATGTGGATGAAAACATGAGAACTGAACCTCATAGTTTTGGTAGCCCAAAACTTTAAGATATTAAGATAAAGAATTAAAAGAGGTTTCTGTGGTGTTACCATATTTCTTCTTTCCAAAGCACATCTCCACTGTCCTTTCAGATGTTGTGGTTTTGTTTCTGAGGTGTACACCCTCAAAGAAACACTTTTTCCCCGTGTGATAAGTGTGACCAAAGGAACTTGGATAAAATGTCCATTCTGTGTCTGAATTCTCATTATCTCCTAAAGAAGAGAGAGAAATTGTAAGAATGGCTCAGCTTTCTTTTCTTTTTATCTATTTATTGTAATTTGAAAAATAAAGAATAATTCAACAACATTTCAAATTCAACATTTAGTCATTCAGCCTAGGACTTCCCCTCCATCCCTCCATGGTTCCCCCAAAATTCCAACTCCTGCTGCGTATTATAATTATTCTAAGTCTTCACTTCTTCCTAAAAAATCCCTCCACCGTACCTTGGATCTCAAACACCTTGGCTCCCGAACAAATCGGCTCCCAAACAGTCAAAACAGTGAGTGTTCTGGTTTTTCGAACGATTTTTGGAAGCCGAATATCCAGCGTGGCTTCTGTGGCTTTCGATTGGCTGCAAGATGCTCCTGCAGCCAATCAGAAGCTGCACCTTGGTTTTTGAACGGTTCCAGGAGTCGGACGGACTCCCAGAACGCATTCTGTTCAAGAACCAAGGTACAGCTGTACTTTGCACTGCTGTCTTTTCTCAAATCCTACTTGCGTTTTATCAGGTTTCCATGGAGTTTTTCAGTAATCTATTGCAAATGTATACATGGTTGCCATGAGGTAGACGACATCACATACTCTTCTGCTGATTTGCCCCCTGTACACAACGCCTAGAGGGAAATTTGTATTTCTGATTCTTAATTGGCTTCCAGGTTGATCCACACAGGAAGTGCCCGTTGAACTCCTAGCATAATAATAATAATAATAATAATAATAATAATAATAATAATAATTTATTTATACCCCGCCCATCTGGCTGGGCTTCCCCAGCCACTCTGGGTGGCTTCCAACAAAATATTAAAATACAGTAATGCATCAAACATTAAAAGGTTCCCTAAACAGGGCTGCCTTCAGATGTCTTCTAAAAGTTTGGTAGTTGTTGTTCTCTTTGACATCTGGTGGGAGGGCGTTCCACAGAGCGGGTGCCACTACCGAGAAGGCCCTCTACCTGGTTCCCTGTAACTTGGCTTCTCGCAGGAAGGAAACTGCCAGAAGGCCCTCGGCTCTGGACCTCAGTGTCTGGGTAAAACGACGGAGATGGAGACGCAACATGTGGCCAAATTTGTGAATTTATTTTTATGTTGTAAATTGTTACAGGTTGCGTTGTACAATTTTAGATGAAAGTTTCCTTTGTCATCTATTGTAAAGGCCTTTGGCTATAAACAATAAAATTGATTGAATGAGCTTTTAAATAATCCACAAACATTTTTCAGTCCTCCTTAAAGTCTGTCTCTTTTTGATCTCCAATTTAACAAGTCAAACTTGCCAGTTCTACATATTCTGTCAATTTCAGCTGCCATTCTTCTCTAGTAGGTAGCACCTCTTCACGTCATTTTTGAGCTTACAATATTTGCGCTTCCGTTATTGCATAAAGAAATAGATTCACCTGTTTTGGAGCAACATCTGTTCCAGTTATCCCTAATAAAAAGGCCTCTGGTCTTTTTGGGACAGTTAGTTTAAGTATCTTTTTTATCTCATTATAGATCAGCTCCCAAACGTCTTTAGCCACTTTACCTGTCCACCACATGTGGGAAAATAAACCTTCTTTACACTTCCAACAGATATATGGTGCTGATTTAGACATCTTTGCCAATTAATATGGTGTCAGGTACCACCTGTATATCATTTTCAGGAAGGTGGGCAAACCATACTAAGACCATGGTTCCCTCCTGGACTTGCTCCAGGGCATGGGAATTGGGGCCACGGTCTTATAGGACCAAGTCCAGAGAGGGGCATTGGGAGAGGGCCTCTCAGCTATTTAATACCTTTATGAAGCTGCTGGGAGCTTCATCAGCAGTTTGGGGGCAAGGTGCCATCAGCTTGCTGATGACCCACACATGAATCAGGAGAGACCATGCACTCCCTGGAGACAGGGGTGAAATGGGTGAGGAAAAACCAGCTGAGCTTGAATCCTGGCAAGACAGAGACACAATGGTTGAGTAGCCCCCATGTCTGAGAAACTGGTCAATTGCCTGCCCTGGGCAGGGTTGCAGTTTGGGGGTGCTTCTGGCACCATTTCTGTCCCTGAAGACTCAGGCAGCTTCAATGGCTAGAAGAGCCTTTTATCAGCTGCAACTGGTTGGGCAGCTGTGGCCATTCCTGGACCCGGAAAGTCTTACAACAGTACTTCATGCATTGGTTATTTCAAGACTGGATTACTGCAGTGCGTTGCATGTTGGGCTGCCCTTGCACCTGGTCCAGAAGCACAATTGCTGATAGGAGTGAGGCCTTGTCTGCGCATGTCACCTGTGCTCAGAGAGCTGCCCTGGCTGCTGATTTGCTACTGGGCCAAATTCAAGGTAAAGTCCATAACAACTTGGGACCAATGTAGCTTCGAGATCCCCTCACTCTACATGTGCCACTTTGATTGGCAGAATTGGCACTAAAACAGGTGCCAGATGACACACACCTGTTCTGCATTTGTAAGAACCCACTCATTTCATATGGCAGCAGCTGCACTCTGGAACTCCCTACCTGTTGAGGGAGTTTGCTGTACAGTTACTCGTTTTGGCTCCTGCTTAAAACATCATTGTTTAGACAAGCTGACCCAGATGCTTAGAAAGTTGAGGTAGCTTTCAACTTCAATACATAACATTAACTTGTGTATTAAGCCAAGGGTAGACAACCTAAGGCCCGGGGGCCGGATGCGGCCCAATCGCCTTCTCAATCCGGCCCGCGGACGGTCCGGGAATCAGCGTGTTTTTACATGAGTAGAATGTGTGCTTTTATTTAAAATGCATCTCTGGGTTATTTGTGGGGCATAGGAATTCATTCATTCATTTATTTTTCAAAACATAGTCCGGCCCACCACATGGTCTGAGGGACGGTGGACCGGCCCCCGGCTGAACAAGGTTGCGGACCCCTGCTTTAAGCCCAAATCCAATTTGTCATGGCCAGTGGCTAGTACAAGAAAGTTATTTGGATTTGGCTCTAAGTATGGTTGTGATTTTTTCTTGATTTTATTGTCTGAACAAAGAAACACTTTGAGGTATCTTACAAACAAGCGGTGTATACATTTCCTGAAACAAATAAGATGTAGACGAGGAATTAATTCTCTGAGAGGGGGAGACGTGGAATCAAGGACCCCGAATCACCAGCAATTTCCCACACAGGCCACCACTGTAATGTTGCCCCCAACGGTCGTGTCGCCTCCTGTGTTTTGGCTTCCACAAGGTGCTGGAGGAAGCCGGTGACAAATGTATTTGCCATTCCAGCCTGCTGGGACTGCAGTCGGGAACCCTGCAATGCCTCAGTGGAGCAGCTGTGAAGAGGGGTGTCGCAGTGCCATCTGGGAGTCATTTGCGTGTGAGCTGCTTGGACCTTTGTGCACTTTGGGGTGGCTTTATGTCTGGAGACCTTGGCAGAAACCTCCATGCAAACTGCCAGCATTTCATGGCACTATTTCTTCAGCGTTACTCACGAGAGGACTTCTTCTGCAGTTGGACCTCTGCAAATTGGTCGCTTTCTTTTACCAGATTTGCTTTAGGTGGAGGTTCACTGGAATGCTTAGGAGAGGCAGAAGAGGAATTTTGAGAAGGATCATGCCTGACAAAAACAAAATGGAAGGAAAGGACCACTTACTTATTAGTTGTCAGAATAAACCAATACTGGCTGAATATTTATGCATCTGGAACCTACCCAGAGGGATCTGCTTCTTGGGGGGGCTTAGAGGAGGCGTCTGGATTTTCTTGCCTGCCATCGTGCGGGAGGGATGTTAATATTGTGTCTTGTTTCTGGGGCTCAGTGGATTCTCTTGTTGTGTTGCTTAGTTCTGGAAGGCAAGCAGCAATAAATAAACTTCCTCTGAAGTCAGCTGAAGATGCCTAGACACATGGTATTATACTTGCAGGAAGAAAACACCCTTTTGTGGAAACATACAAGACTACAACTCTTTAGCCCTGCCTTGACCGATTGCAGAACCAGAGTTGTACTTCACGTTAAAAGGCTACATGGAGGCAGCTACTAATGGCTAATTATTTACACCTGTTTACACATATCCAGATGGACATGACTTTGTGGGCTAACATAATAAAATCAGCCTCAAGGAATCTAGATGGGATTTACTTACTTACTAAAGGTAAAGGTAAAGGTAAAGGGACCCCTGACCCATTAGGTCCAGTCGTGGCCAACTCTGGGGTTGCGGCGCTCATCTCGCTTTACTGGCCGAGGGAGCCGTCGTACAGCTTCCGGGTCATGTGGCCAGCATGACTAAGCCACTTCTGGCGAACCAGAGCAGCGCACGGAAACGCCATTTGCCTTCCCACCGGAGCAGTACCCATTTATCTACTTGCACTTTGACATGCTTTCAAACTGCTAGGTTGGCAGGAGCAGGGACCGAGCAACGGGAGCTCACCCTGTCACGGGGATTTGAACCGCCGACCTTCTGATCAGCAAGTCCTAGGCTCTGTGGTTTAACCCACAGCGCCACCCGCGTCCCACTTACTTACTTACTGGCAGCTAAAAACATATACAATATATTACTTTAAAAGTAATTAAACTATAATAAAATTAAAATGATATCAAAACAAACCAATAAAATACAGAGAGTAACAACTGCACAGCACAATTCAAAGCCCTTTCCTTCAAATCAGTTGGTTCCCCAAAGCCTGCCAGAATGATACTGTCTTCCCCTGCAGGTGGAAGGACCGTGAGGAAGGAGCTGGCCTGGCCTCCAAAGTCTGGGAACTGCTACCAAAAAGGCCCTCAGGTGAAGCCCTCCCCCTCTGTGCCTCTGCATGAGGTACCTCTGGAATTTGTTTTGATTGGTTCATGACGCGCTCTGCTTTCTTTTAATTGCACAAGAGACTTGTGTCCCTTAGCATCCAGCAAATTTTCTTTGCCCTGTGTGACATACCCTCCAACAATTCTGCGATGCAAATAGGGATGTCTCTTTCCATAATCATAATTTTACTAATTATACCCCACACATCTTACTGGGTTGCTCCAGCGACTCTGGGCAGCTTCCAACATATATAAAAACATAATAAAACATTTTAAAAAACCTTCCCTAAACTGGATTGCCTTCAGACAGCTTGGGGTTTGGATAATAATAATAATAATAATAATAATAATAATAATAATAATAAATTTTATTTATATCCCGCCCTCCCCAGCCTTAGCCGGGCTCAGGGCGGCTAACAACAATAAAACAGTACAAAAGTACAACATAAACAACACTCTAAAATCATTCATTCTAAAATTAATTAATTCAAGCCACTGGCAGCCATTGGGCCAGAGCTCCGCGAAGATTGCCGAAGGAGGGAGTCAGGCTGTGCCCTTGCCAAAGGCCTGGTGGAACAACTCTGTCTTGCAGGCCCTGCGGAAAGATGTCAAGTCCCGCAGGGCCCTGGTCTCTTGTGACAGAGTGTTCCACCAGATCGGAGCCACAGCCGAAAAGGCCCTGGCTCTCGTTGAGGCCAGCCTAACTTCTCTGTGGCCTGGGACCTTCAAGATTTTTTTATTTGAAGACCGTAAGTTTCTCTGTGGGGCATACCAGGAGAGGCGGTCCCGTAGGTACGAGGGTCCTAAGCCGTATAGGGCTTTAAAGGTTAAAACCAGCACCTTAAACCTGATCCTGTACTCCACCAGGAGCCAGTGCAGCTGGTATAGCACCGGGTGAATGTGATCTCGCAGCGAAGACCTTGTAAGGAGTCTCGCTGCAGCATTCTGCACCCGCTGGAGTTTCTGGGTCAGTCTCAAGGGCAGCCCCACGTAGAGCGAGTTACAATAATCCAGTCTGGAGGTGACCGTCGCGTGGATCACAGTGGCTAGGTCAGGGCGAGAGAGGTAAGGAGCCAACTGCTTAGTTTGGCGGAGATGGAAAAATGCCGCCTTTGTTATAGCTGCAATCTGCGCCTCCATGGAGAGGGAGGTGTCGAAGATTACACCCAGACTCTTAACGGATGGTGCTGGCACTAATTGCGCCCCCGCAAGAGATGGGAGTTGCCCCCCCAATCCCATATCGCCCCGTCCCAGCCACAGGACCTCTGTCTTCGAAGGATTTAGCTTCAACCGGCTCCCACGTAACCATCCAGCCACAGCTTCCAAACATCTGGTCAGTGTGTCTGGGGCCGAGTCAGGATGGCCATCCATCAACAGATAGAGTTGGGTGTCATCAGCATACTGATGGCAACCCAGCCCAAAACTCCGAACAAGCTGGGCGAGGGGGCACATAAAGATGTTGAAAAGCATCGGGGAGAGTATCACACCCTCCAGAGTAACTCCAGATTCTGCCCAAATACCTGTTTTCCAGCTTTAGCTAGCTTCTTTTCCTTGCTATTTATTTATTTATTAAATTTGTATACTGCCCTTCTGTTGTGTACAGTGGCGTAGCGTGGGGGGTGCAGGGGGGGCGGGCCGCACCGGGCGCAACATCTGAGGTTAGGGCAAATCCACAGGTTAGGGGGCGCAAATCCACGGGTTAGGGGGCGCAAATCCACGGGTTAGGGGGGGCAAATTACTTGCCTTGCCCCGGGTGCTGACAACCCACGCTACGCCACTGGTTGTGTATTGAGTCAAAGGATTTTATATCTGTATTATTATTGTCTGTATTTGAATTAGGGTAAAGTAACTGCCTTTTGGTTCCAGAGGGTACAGCTACTATTGGTTCATTTAAGCTGCTGTATTTGGATCCTCCGTCTTATTGGTTTCCTCCAAAAGGCAGGACTGTGATTGCCTGATATTGTTCCCTCCGAAATGTATCCTTTCTAGCTAGTTCCCTGTCCCTATAAATGTAGCTCTCCCCTCCTCAGGTCTCAGTCTTGTTTGCTTTAATAAAGAAGTGTTACTAGAGAACTGACTCCAGCATATTATGTCAAGAGAGCTGAATTCACAAACCCCACGTCACAACACCTTCATTCATAGATCTCGGGACAGTTAACAACATATAAACACAAAATACATAATAAAAAGCACAAGCACACATACACACAAAAGCCAACATCCCCCTCCCATAAACACATTTTAAAAGGGCATTGGACAACAATCTGTCAAAGGCCTGGTTAAAGAGGAACATTTTTGCCTGGCAACATAAGGTGTAAAAAAAGGTAGGTAAAGTTAAAGGACCCTTGGACACTTAAGTCCAGTCAAAGGTGACTATGGGGTTGCGGTGCTCATCTTGCTTCAGGCCAAGGGAGCTGGCGTTTGTCCACAGACAACTTTCTGGGTCTTGTGGCCAGCAGGACTAAACCGCTTCTGGCACAACAGGACACCAAGACAGAAACACCATTTATCTTCCCACTGCAGTGATACCTTTTTATCTACTTGCACTGGTGCACTTTCAAACTGCTAGGTTGGCAGGAGCTGGGACAGAACAACAGGAGCCGACCCCGTCGCAGGGATTCAAATTGCTGACCTTCTGATCAGCAAGCCCAAGGGGCTCAGCGATTTAAACCACAGCACCACCTGCATCCCTAACTGATTAGCCAGGTTGTAATGAAATGTGAATCACAGCCGACAGAGTTTGAGTTTTTGATAACATGATCACAAAATGAACAGCTACAAGGCAACAAGCTCAGAGGAATATATCTCTTTCCAAGTCAGAGCATTTCTCACTTTAATTCACTTGTTAAATGCAGCAGTGCAGCGATTAAACATTAAGCCATGGAAGGCACAGGAACACAGGAAGTTGCCTTAGGCTGAGTCAGACCAGGGCTGGCTGCCCTGGCTGCCACGGCTCTCCAGGGTTTCAGGCAGGACTAGTAATTCCCAGCCCTTCCTGGCAATGCTGGGTTCAAGCCTGGGACTTTCAATACAAAGCATGAGCTCTGCTGCTGAGTTATGGCTCCTCCCAAGTCCTAAAGGCAGGCAACAAAATCATTCTGGTTCAAAATTTAGCCTTAGACTGAGAAACAATGCATTACCAGCAGCCCTCCCCATGCTTGCTATGCTCTGCACTCATTTGACTCTCAGCTGCAAGGGCCCAGGGGTCTTTGCACCAGGGAGTTTCAGTACAAACCCCCATCTGCGCCCGCCATCCTGCTGTCGCCTGGGTGCCAAGGAAACAGAAGCAAACAAAAGAAGGGAATTCCAGTGAGATTGTCTGCTCCCTACTTAGATTTCTCAAGGACTGTTGTCATTCAACAAGGTCAGATTCATGACCTTGTTCCTTCAAACACCCTGAAAAATAGACATCCTGTAACTAGATGCAAAATTTACAAAAACCATTCATCAAAATCTATAAACAAATCCAAACTTAGGATTTTAGCATAAGGTAAATCCATACACAAACCTTTGGCCACCACAGTCCTGAGGAGTCACTGCTGCTAGGCGTTGGCTGCTCTGACCTGCTTTGTGCAGCGAACAAATCCGTGGCCCTCCCGGTGCCTCCAAGCCCAGAAGCCGAAATGGGGAAACGTGTCTAAGGGCAGAGAGGTTATGGCAGCCTTTGACCCAGCAGATCATGGCACCTGTGCAACGTAGCCTGAGCTGAGCTGGGACCTCGCAAAGGACCTGTCCAGCGAGCCCTTCACCCAGCGAGTGTCCTGTCCACGGTCGGCGGCTCGGTCGGCCCCTCCTCGGGGTCTTCAGGGGAGGCACCTCTCGAGAAGGCTTTCCTTGGGAACTAGGGATCAGGATGAGCCTCTTGCTCCTGACCAGAGGCAGGAATGGGAGCGAAGCCCCCTTGAGAGCCTGCCGACGGTGCACATTCCCCGTGCCGATGGCCCACGTCTCCTGCCGCCGCTTCCCGCAAAGAACTACACGTGTTTTCAGTTGCATCGACTAAAGCAATAGCAGCCGTGGCGTTTCTAAGGGCAAGGGCACGCGGGGCTCGTCCTGGGAAAAGTGAAGGACATCCGGGCACCGGGATGGCAGCAGAACTGGCAGAGTTGGTCGGAAAGGGACGGGGTCTCCACTCGGAGAACGGGACCCTCTGCGCAGACAGCGCCATCACAAAGGAAGGTTCTGCACATCTGGGAGCAAGAGGGTGCAGCGCCTCAGCAGGCCAGCGCAGCCGGAGCAGGGGCCAGAGGTTCCACTTGCCAGCATCCAACAGACCAAGCACCGCGGCCCATGCCAGAGGCCCCTCCCCATCTTTCCCCTTTTTCTTCCTAATTTAACACTAACATCTCGCAACAAATGAAACTGATCCGTAGAAAACGCAACTTGAAAAAAGAGACATTGCACATACTTTTGTAAACCAAGAAATCTTAAACAAACAAACAAATAAAACTTGGCCGGAGGGTTCCAAGTGCCTCCTAGATTCGGACCGCGTATCAGAGACTGAGGAGGCTTTTATCCCTGGAGCAGGATGCTGAGGTTCGGCCCGAGGTCTCTGCTCTGTTCCAGTGATACAGAGCTCCAGTGAACCTGTACTCCAGAGATCCTGTCTGCTCCAGTGATCCAGCTCCAGATGTGCATGCATAATGTTGCAGCTAGCATCGTTAGTGTGAATAACGTAGTGTGCTATATTGTGCATCAGTTTCCCAACAGTATAGTGAGAGGATGGAATTCATGGGATCTTCTGCCCCCACAAGGACCAGTTATTTAGAAATAGGAAATCTGTGTATTAGTATTAGGTAGAAGGAATAACAATGCTGCCCCCTTAAGAAAAGGTTTGGCCTTCCCCCCTTGTTTCTACCCCAAGGCAGGCTGGGAAATGTAGGCACAGCCACACGGGAGAAGCCTCCCTTCCCGCCTGCCTAAGCAGGGAGAGGGGCGAGCGAGCTCCTTCTTGCCCAGCCCCACAAGGAGCGGCATCCAAAGCTTCCAGCCGCTTTCGCTCAGAGCCCAAGAGCAGCCTCTTGGAATGTCAGTGCATAGTTCAGTGCATGAGAGCTTCGTGGAGGGTTGTTGAATGCTCTCCAGATGGAGAGAGAAGCCTCAGGACGTCATAGATCCCTGACCTTCTAGCATCCAATCAGTGATATAACTTGCAGGTCTCCATCACAGCAATCCGACCCCCAAGCCAAGTAAGTGCATACTGTATAGCAGTGTTTCCCAACCTTTTTTGGGCAAAGGCACACTTGTTTCATGAAAAAAATCTCGAGGCACACCACCATGCCAGATGGGGAAAGGTCACTTTTTACTTATGTAAAAAAAAAATAAAAAAATAGTAACAGCATAGAAGGTAATGGTTAGGCTAGCATCCCTCTTCCAAATATGCTAGGTTTTTATTTGCAGGGACTGTTCTACATGGGAAAGCATTCAGCACTGTCATTCTCCCATCTGCCATCTGAATTGGTACTATTCTGGGTCAACTTACTCTGCTGCATGTGTAGATGAAAATGGCACCAAGTGTGGGGGAGGGGGCAGAACAGGTTTCAGATACAGGATATTAAGCATACACGTACTTCAGATTGAACTGGTTGCTTGCTTTGCAAGTTTTCATTTCCCAAATGACTGCCTTGGCAAGCGCAATACCTACTAGGCTCAACGCCGGTCTCGCGCTGCCACTTCCCGCGCTCTCAAGGACCCGGGAGGAGGAAGGCGTGAAGGGAATCCTGAAGGCGCGAAAACCTCGCGCATGCGCAGGCCTTCCGCCTGCGACAGCCCAGTAGGCCGGCCGAAGCGAGCGGCGATGGGATGTGGGAGGGAGCTCGCTCGCCGCCCCGCGTGTACCTATGTGGGGCACGTTACAGCCCCGTGACGTCAGCGCCACGCAGGCAGCCAGGCAGGCAGACAGCGAGAGCCCCGCGCTGGGCGGCCTCTCCTCACCGCCGCCGCCCCGCCTCTCGCCGCCCGACTCGCCCGCCTCCCTCCAGGCAACATCTCGCGGCACACCAGGCAACGTCTCGCGGCACACTAGTGTGCCGCGGAACACCGGTTGGGAAACACTGCTGTATAGGGATGTGCTAAAACAGTGATTCATCCCAGAGTTTGTGGAATTTTTGTCCCCTCTCCAAATTTTAAATTATGATGATCAGTCCAGAAAAATTAAAAAGAGAATAGATTCAAAAGGAATTGTTTAGCTGTGATTCCTGCATGACAGGGGTTGGACTAGATGACCCTCGGGGTACCTCTAGAATTCTCTGAGTCTGTGATTCTCAGTTGGCCCACTAGCAAAAGCCAGTGAGAGAATTCACACCAGTGCAATGGAGCTTTCCCCTCAGGGTCCCCCCATAAAACACTCTGCAGAATCAGGAGAACTATGCAGGAGAAATGCTATTGAGAGAGAAGGCAGAATTGCTCAGCACCTACTTTGCCATTCTTCCATCTGGCAAGCAGAAATGTTTGTGCTGGCTGAACAATCCTCATAGTGCAATGTTGAATTCCACCCTTAATTTTCAGTTCTAGCAATTTGTTATTTGCTATTCCTCTTGGATATATTTTTGCAGTTGCAACTCCCCCACCCCTACCCCATTTCCCTTGTTGCACATTGAGAGTCTTGGCCACCACACTGGGGGTTCCTTTGCACCCATCAAGTATTTCAGTCGCGCTGAGAGTTTTCCAATCATCTTCAGAGGATGTTCTTTTGCTTGCTTTTCTCAAAAGGTACTGAGCCATTTCCCCCTTCTTACTGCGCAACATAATCGTTGGCAGGCTTTGATTACTGCTTCAAAACCACACAGATCCAGGGAATTCTGGTCTTTGATTAACAGAAGGGTGAGGAAATACCCAAGGGCAGTCATCTCTGCACCGACATGGGAAGTGTTCCTGAAGAAATGCTTCTCACAGGCAGATGCTCCCTCCGACCATCTGATGCATCTGTTTACCCACCTACCTATTTGGCTTCCCACCGATCCTGACGAAATAGCCAAGCTAATAGCTCAGCTGAAACCGGGCAAAGCCCCTGGGCCCGACCTGATCCCTGCTGAAGCCATCAAACTACACCCAAAATGGTGGGCCGGCATCTTGGCCAAAACCTTCGATGCAATCAACGCTTCCGGTCTCATCCCCAAAATATGGAAGGAGGCCATTATAGTACCAATTCATAAAAAAGGTTCTCCAACGGAGCCGGAAAACTACCGCAACATCAGCCTCCTTTCAATCATAGGGAAAATTTATGCCAGCTTTTTGCTGACTAAATTATTGCGATGGGTAGATGAGACTAACCAGATTGGCCACGAACAAGCAGGGTTCAGAACTAAACGTTCTACAACAGATCATGCAATAATTCTTTATCATCTGGCACGGAAGTACTCCTCCCCTCCCCGGGGCAACCTCTGTGCTGCCTTCTTAGATCTAAAGGCAGCCTTTGACAGCGTTCCTAGAAATATTCTTTGGGAGAAACTTGCGAAACAGGGCATTGATAGAAGACTCTTATGGCTCATAAGTCAGCTCCACGAAGGTACCCTTGCCAGAGTGAGACTTACTCCTGCGGGCGACCTCACAAATTCGATACCAATAAACAAGGGAGTGCGCCAAGGATGTATATTGGCTCCCTGCCTATTCAACCTTTTCATCAGCGACATGCGAGCACCCCTAGTTAACTCATCTCCAAGTACACACGCGCCTAGACTAGCGGATTACCGCTGCCCACTCCTTTTATATGCGGACGACGCGGTAATTCTATCTTATACACGTGTTGGACTAACCAGAGCTCTGAAGATCTTTGCCACGTATTGCCAACTCAACCAATTAACCATCAACCATGCTAAGTCCAAGATTCTGATTTTCTCCAGAAGCCGGAGATTATACAAATGGAAGCTTGGTGGAGCAAAAATAGAGCAAGTCCTAAAATTTCAATATCTAGGAGTTATTTTTCAATACAACTTGGGATGGAAAGCTCAAATTCAACACCTACTTAACAAGGCCAAAACCCTGTCATATGCGCTCCTCCGATTTTTCTTTTCGGACGGAGCTCTGCATGTTCCCTCGGCCCTAAAGGTGTTCAAGGCAAAAGTGGTTGCAGTGCTTGCTTATGCTGCCCCGCTCTGGGCCGTGATGACAGATCTTGCTCCCCTTGAGACTCTGCAAAGCCAATTCCTACGTCGGCTCCTAATGCTCCCCCTGTGCGTAAGCAACGCAGCCATGCGACTAGAATTGAAGATCGCATCCTTAGAAACTTGCCTGTGGAAGCAAGTCTTCAATTACTGGTTATCATTGTGGCATAGATTACCAAACCATTACCTTGTCCAATGCTTATGGCGAGATGAATTCTCCAGCCTTTGGACTAGTAAAATTCATGCCAAACTACTGAGTTATGGAATCTCTCCCTCAGATTCCCTAAAACTAGACCAAATCACTGCTCAAAGACTGATCCGTCAAAGACTGGATGACATCGACTTACAGCGAAATTATACGCTGGGGGGAGGTGTTTGTTCGCCCCAGAACATTGGTATCACTTTAACTTATTGCGTTCCATCATACCTCTCCTCCCTTTCGACTGTTGCCCATAGACTGGCCTTCACCAAAGCGAGGTTCAACGTTTTCCCCTCCAATGTCCTGAGACATAGATTCTCAAAGGGCCAAGTCCCCGCCACGTGCGAATGTGATAAGGTGACGCCGGAGTCGCTCCAGCACATTATGTTCACTTGCCCCTTGTTCAATGTGCCACGGGCAAATTTGTTGGGATCAATCATACAGAAACTAGAGGGTACCCCACCAAAATTCCACCTTGCCCAAATCTTGCAGGATAAGGATTCCCACACGACCCTGAAAGTGGCTAGGTTCCTGGTCGCTGTCCTCTCCCAAAAGCGACGCCAAGGAGCGCTACAAGCTAATTAAGGCATAGCATGCCTTTCCATCTTATAGTATTTATTGTTATAGAGGTGTTTTAGCGACTGTTTTTTTCTTTTCCCCACGGCACAAGCTGTCACTTATGTGTTGTTTTTACCTGTATGGGCCTATGGCCGTAATAAATATTATCTTATCTTTCTGTGCCTTTCTGTGCCCCTTCTTACTGCAACCCAGCCTCATTTGCAAATGGGTGATAGTCTAGGGTAACCATTGATTAATCTTGGGGGAGTTCTCCAGGTGCCGTGCACAAATCTTCAGGGCTCTAATGCGTCTCCCTTTCCTGCTCAATCTGTACGTCAGCCAGTTCAACTGAGGTGCAAAGCTTTTAAGATTATGCAACTGAATTATTTCAGTTTAATTTGACTGTGGTTCAGGCTGCAAGTAACAAGAGCTGTCAGCCTTAAGTAGGTCGATTTATTTATTTAAGCCAATATATTTTTGGCATTTTACAACTGATGGCTAAAACAACAAAAATGTACCGAGTGCTACTCACACACACACACACACACACCCTCAGCATAACTATGTACTGAACAAACCTGGAGTGAGTTTAAGTCTTAGTACCTTGGCTTACTTGTAAAGCACTCTTCATAAAATGTGGTATTTTCATAATCATGACTACAGATAAGCCATACCAGGCATATTACAGTTCCGCTAATAGTAGGATTCATCTAAATGTGACGAATCCCACTCATGTCTTTTCTCTTAGAATAAATGTTAATCACAATACACCAAATGTGGGGATGGTGAGCAACAGTGACCTGACTAAAAATTATGTAACTGTCCCAGAAATTAAATGAGAAATGGCTTTGTGACTCCTCCGCCAATCTTCCTGCCACTGCCATTTTCACAATCCATTGTATTCATCAGGGCATTGACTGAGGAGTAAGTCTGC